TTGCGTAAACCGACGTTACGGTGAATGTACTTTTTGCCACACGCAGCGATAGGCTTTCCGTTTGCCGCCTGTAGATTTAAAACCAATTCGTGAAGACGGTCGTTAGAATTCGCTAGAAGAGCGCTAACTTCTGCGCCGGTATAGACGAGGTAGCGAACTCTTGTTATCACATCTATGACATATGACAGACGGCTATGTTCGCCAGCTACGGTTGCCATTAACGCGTGTCGGCTTGGAAGTTTCCCGAGTTGTTTTTCGAATCGGTCGATGTTGGGTCAGGAAAACTGCAGGGTTTTCTGCAAGTTCCGGAGGACTTTCTATACTGATTATGATACCAGCACCAGCCGGGTTATCCGTCTCCCGTGGTCTAGAGACAGATCGCCTGCGTGAAGTGATTCTTCGCAGGGTATGTGACCGTTTACGGTCGTTACGAAATTTAAGATAACGTGTAGGTGTATGACATAACTCTGTAATGTCACTCTGGGTCGTTTGAGGCATCTCTTTGACTGAAAAAAGCTGTGCATCAGAAGATTTCGTGATTTTTAAGATGCGGTCGGCAGATGCGGACAACTAATCTAACACGTCATTTTGTAACGAGGCCAGTACAACTTGCACCTGTTGAGGAAGTTTGGACAAGAAAAGGTGTTTGAATAGGCCATCATCGAAAATTCTCTGGCCGATAACCTCTCTCAGTCTTTGCAACATGTCTGTCGCAGAACCGTGTTGCAGGTCGATGTTATTAAGGAGTTGGTTTAACCTTTGTCGATCAGTTAGGTCTCCACGTTTGAGCGTTTTGTAGGGTTCCGAAACATCACTATTACTATTAATCCTTACTTCTTTAAACCATTAGTTATTTTCATAGCAGTGTGATATACTATATGGACATCTAACCCATAAAACAGAATTTTTAAATACCTGATTTGCTTGTAACATGGACCTAGTAGAGACAGTGTATTCCAACTATGTGCTTTGATTAAAGCATTAATCATACTTACCACAAACGTAAGAGAGCCTAACATCACAAAAGGAGGGAGGGTGGCGTTACTGACCAGCAAACATGAAGGTGGGGAGATAACTTCAATCCACCCATGTTTGTAGGGCAGAACATTTTGTTTAATTACGGCTCCTTATGGATTAGTGGGATGTCACGGACTTATGGTATTGAAGCTGATTTATCATGCAAAATACCTCTTTAAATCGTGTTACGAACGTTGAATTGGTTTCACTTCCTACTCAGAAATCCTATTACAAGCAAACTAGACAATTCGCAAATATACGAAGCCTACTCAAGACCCTATAAAACCTGAAAAAAAATTTAAAAAAGGGGCTCTAATGGCTTCGATAAAAAAAGGAAGATAGCCAGTTGTATATCACAATACTGTTTCTAGCACTATATTTCATTTTATAATCACACATAATCTTATACTCTCAGCTCTTTTCCAAATCGCCTCCATTTGTCAGTTGTATGTCCACTCACACCTTGCTAAAGCTTATTTTCTTTACCCTATTAAAATGCTCTTTCTTAACAAATACCTTAATAAAAGAAAATTAGACTGAGTAATCATACCTTAAACATTCCTTCATGAATATTGGCTACTCTGCCTCTCGTGTTTTCTTTTACTTGCTCCCTCTTTCAGCCCCCTTGAGATATGGAACGGGTTACTTCATCCTGCACTATCCTTAAAGCCTTGGATATCCCAAAGGGACGTAAGGCTGCGATTTCTAGAAGCTCATACCTTCAATGTACCTATCCTTGACCATCAGTCGCACATTCGCAACGCAACTGTCGTGAAGCGCGCCAACTGTAGTACTGATTAAAACAATCTACATTCATGTCTTATAAATTATCAACCCAGCTATGTAGTTTAATACAGTGTACATTGTATCATTTGTATCAATTTGATCTTGCCTGTAAACTGGCATGCCTCATGGAACAAACTGTTATTTGAGAATAAATTATTATTATTATTATTATTATTAAACATGCTAGGTGTTACGTACCTGCTGAATTCGCGCTGTAGTGCCTTGACTACTGCGAGGAATTGTGCACGTGCGTCGATCGTACAAGTCATCTGCGTAGCAGAACCAGGCTTCAATGCTGTCTGGCTAGAAGAGCATTAGTTGAAACGAAGGGGAGGAAATAGTCTTTAACTTAAGTACCTTGGGTGTCTGTTCAGTTATGGTGAAATATGAAGTACGAGAATGAAGGACTGAAATATATATATATATATCCAAAAACACGGAAAATATCACAAATGCATAAAAAATTAAAATAAGGCAATGATATATAAAATCCAAAAAAGGGACAGGCTCACAGTTTGCAGTTTGGTGTACCAGACCACGTCGGGCTCACCGATGAAGATGCCACAGGTATCCGGAGTTTGACAACTCTTTAACCAGTAACACCTAACATGAATCTTACCCACCAAGTGAAATCAAAGGACAGAAGCGAGGAGGTTCGAAGATATGTTTGATAGGCTATCAATATATCGAGGATCATCTGATCTAATCTGGCTAGCGATTGCAGGGGGTGTTGAGCACGGCGTTTCCACTCGTGATCTGGTGCGGATACATGATCGAGCGCATTCAGCTACGCGAGTCCATTAAAACTAATGTGGTCAGCATCCAAAGTCAAAGACTTACAGAGCTATTTATTTTGGGGATTTATTTACATCTACAGCATCATACCGCTGTCCAAGCCCCTCCAATCGTAATTTTCGCAGTATAGTTACAAAATTTGAAGGCAATTCAGTAACTAGATATTTTGATTACAGGTAGAAGCACTGTAGCTTGTAACTCCTAAATTGTCGAGCTATCGGAGGAAATTCGTTCAGTGGTAAGTCGAGACGTAATCTGGTCTGGGTAAGGCGAATTTAGTATCGATGTTGGATGAGTAAAAGTTATTTATTCTGTGGATCTGTTTGCCAATACACTCTTCCGAAAATTAAGACGAATTGGTCAGAATATCCAAATGAGAATCACTAACGAGAATATTTACTGAAAATACGTTACCTGGTAAGTTAACAGATAAGTGACAAAAAAAATGAGAGTACAAAGGAACATGTCCACGTTCAGATCTTTTATATCATTGTAAGAATACTGAGTGTGGTGACTATAAGTTATTGCACATGACAAGTGAATTACATGTTAAAGAGCTATCGTTTAGTAACTGTTAAACTTTAGTGTTCACTCAGTCATTAATATAACCGATTGTTGTATCCTTTTAGGGAACTCAGAATTAATAATAAAATGGCACCACTTGGTATTTATTAAGCAACTCCTTTAATGTTTCGAATTAATACCGCGAAGACCGAATAACAGTCCACCATGGATAACTTAAACGGTCAGGAAACTCTTTAGAAAAAGAAAGAACCACTGGAATATGTTCATCTCTACTGGCTTAGAACAATACAGATCCCGTTATTGTAAGATTAGGAATGCCTGTAAAGCGTTAATAAGCAAGACTAGACTATCATACGAAAAACAATTGGTTAGGGATTCTAGATATAGTCCGAAACGGTTATTATGAAAGCCATACCAAATGAAATTGCTGAACCATTAGCGATACTATTCGACATGTCTCTGAGACAGTCCAGACATCCTAGAGACTGGAAAGATGCCATAATAAGTCCGGTGTATAAGGCTGGGAGTAGGGATTTAGTTAGTAACTATAAACCCGTTAGCTTAACTTGTGCAGTTGTAAAACTGATGGAGACAATCATTCGGATAGCTGTTATAAACTATGTTGAAGGGCAAAATATTTTCTCCAGGGCACAACATGGTTTTCGGAAAGGCCTATCTTGCTTGACAAATCTTCTCATTGCAAGAGAAGATTGGGCTGCTGCAAAAGATCGGAATGTTCCTGTGGATTTGATTTTTACAGATCTAAGTAAGGCCTTTGATAAGGTTTCCCACTCTGGTCTTAAATTCAAACTGGAACGTTTTGTAATCCATTATACAGTCGTGGATTGGATAAGTAACTTTCTCCATGACAGGAGACAAAGGGTAAGGGTTAATGGGGCTCTCTCCTCGTGGATACCTGTAAAAAGTGGGGTTCCCCAAGGTACAATCCTAGGTCCTCTTCTCTTTTTACTTTATGTAAATGAATTGCCAACTGTAGCAAAATCATCCGTTCTACTCTTCGCTGATGACATAAAGATTTGGAGACCCATACATAGTATGTCGGATAGAATAGTATTACAGGACGATCTTAGCTCATTGGTTGCATGGTTAGACAGGTGGTTACTAGAAGTAAATCCTAATAAGAGTGTAGCGATGCAGTTAAATAACTCTGATGAATCGTATGACTATACACTACGTGGATTCGTGCTACCCAAAGCAAGAAACTATAAAGATTTAGGAGTCATATTAAGCAATGATCTTAAAACCACTAGTCAATGTAAGGCTGCTGCTGCAAAAGGCTATAGGGTATAATGGTAAATTCGTAGGTCTTCCCAGTATTCAGATGATGAAATGTTTGGATTACTATACCCAAATTATGTGCGACCACATTTAGAATACATGATTCAAGCAGTGTGTCCTTGTTTCAAGTATGAAGCAGATACGCTAGAAGGAGTCCAACGACGAGCTACTAAGACGGTACAAGGTCTATCTGGCCTATCTTATGAAGACAGGCTGAGACACCTTAACTTATTTCCGTTATCTTACCGTAGAATATGGGGTGATCTAATATTGGTTTATCGTATACTGAACGATGACCTTGGTATTAACATGTCTTATCTTTTGCTTCTGTCTAGAACAGATCATTTGAGAGGAAATTCGAAGAAAGTTCAAAAACCGAGATCAAACCGTTTACGTCTGGAGTTCTGTTTCTCGCACCGAGTAGTGAATTACTGGAATTCTCTACCGTAACACGTAATATCTGTTAATATATTCAAAACGAGGTTGGACCTCCACAGTATAACAAACTGCAAGGATTAATATAGGTCGATAGACCTCCTATCCTTATTACTGAAGACTGAAGACTAAATTCGATAAAGATTTGATGTTTGTGACAGCGCAATTTTTAATGTCTGCGGTTTGGCGTGTCGCCGCGACCCATCCGAAAAAGCTTGTTGCTGGGACACTATGTTTAGTCTATTGTTATAAGTTTACGGGGGGAAAATATCGGTACGTTTTTATTTTGCGCCTGCTCATGCAAATAGAGACTACGTTTTGCACCGAGAAATATGCTCCCATGTTTCTGTAGGTTACTCACCTTTGCCTATGATTATGTAGTCAGAAAATTACAAGACCGTTAATAGCACACAACCTCTACGCAGCCTGACTGTGTTTGTAAATCCATTCTCGCGTCGTGGGTATGTGCTAATATTCTATTTTCCAGAGGACTTTTAAAAGAGTTTGAAAACAATGCTGCTCCTATTTTAAACCTATCTGGTCTTGACGTTAAAATGGTTTATCTGGACACCGATTCTGAAATAAAGGACTTCATAAAAGTGCTAGATCCGAGCAGTACTGACGGTGTTTTAGTTGTTGGAGACGACAATTTGATCCAAAAAGTATTTTCCTTGTCATAACGCACATTGTTTAGGCAGTTACAAGTTTGTTATCCCGGGACGATTTTAAAGTAAGTTGGATCTCACAGCTAACAAATCATCATAGACTACTCCTTTGTGGTCATTGCCAGTCGGAGCGGTGCCCGTAGGTATTTGGAATGGGCTTATAAACTCTATCTGTGAAAAAACAGTTGTCCCTAAGTAAGCTAATATAATTTATCCTTGTACACTTTTTATCCACTTTCATATTTCAATGTTCTTGACTTTTATTTTGAATTTGAGCATGATATTAGTTACTTTGATCTGAATAGGTGTGGATAGGTAATATTAAAAAGAACAATCTAATTCATCAAAGTCGTTGAGCATATGAAATAAATGTTTGTTAAGTTTATTGCTAACAAGCAATATTGAGGGTTATTTCAGGATCTGGCCCGTAACGAACTTCATATTGTACTTCATCTTTTGGATTACTGTTTGACATATAAGTACTACCTCTACTACTACTACTACAGGATTTAAATCGACAACTGCATCTCGGTGCTAATGTGGTATGGCAGCTCGAACTGATGTACGTACGTACGAAGTTCTACGTTGTTACTGACTGACTGATTGACATTTTTAGAATTTGAATGTTTTGATGAATCCGTTTGTTCACTACTTAACCTTTCATCAAATAAATATCAAAGTCTAACATGTCTAGTTTGTTAATATTTATTATCATTGTTCTTATATGCTCACACATTGTAGATGGTTTTACAACGTTTTACATTCTGTCCTACAACAGAATACTAAAAGGAGAAATGTTTTAGAAGTAAAAGTTATTTCAGACGTGAGTTTATAGTTTTAGTAAATGTCGCTTTTTCTCTCTGATCAATTGTTCTCTGTGATATACTTTTAATCTACACAGTTTTATTTATTGAATCCACGTAAAACCTACTACAACTTGGCATTACGAATAAAATATGTTTTAAAAAATGGAATTTTAACACATACAATAGTTGGAATTACTCATATTGTCAGTTCAACTCCCATGAACTACTGGGTGTTTTGTGAGTATGCTTTTCATTTTATGCTTAGAAATCGGTTGATTCATAAGTTGAAGGATAAATACAGTCATGTATGTGAATATGTTACCTTCTCTCCTAATTTCATTATAACTTTAGTTATTTGAGAGAATTTCCGTTAAAACGTTTATTTTAAAGGTTCATGTAATATATCGAGTATCTAATGATTAATTTATACACCGTATAAATTTTTTGGCGTATTTTCGTGATGTGTGCTGATTGAAGATCTTTCAGTTCCTAAATTAATTAATTAAATCAATGCATCACTGATGCTAAATGTATTTTGAATTCTACTGGATCTCAATCAGAAAAGCTTCTCTACAACAACTGAATTTCTTACTCTAGTTAGTCAAGCATAGGAGAAGATAGAAATAGTCTCCTTCATTGGTTAAGAGAGGAAGTAAAATGTGGATGAATTAAAATAATCTAGAAAAGCTGAAATATTAAAGGCATGTGTTAACTAGTGTTTCATCATCTTCATGAACAATGGGCTTACTAAATTATTTGTAAATCAACTGATTAGTACCAGTAATTATTAGTATTTGTTCTTAAACCTCATGAGAATACAAACGAAAATCTTTTCAACTTATTGTGTAAACACACTTGGTGGTATATGCCTTCAGTCTGAATTCTGTATTCATCCTGGCTACATCACAAAGTGATCTATGCCATTTAAAAAGCTTTTTGAAATAAGCAATCTCATCTACGAAGTATCATTCTTTTTACACATTTCTTACCTATCATGTAATTTTTACATCGAAATCATTTTATTTATGTGACACATAATGTTTTGAAATCGTTTGTTTATAACTTTTCAAATAGGATAGTCAACCAATTGAACAATCAAAGGCGTCATCTGCGAATACTTATTCTTTATTAGGTATTGAATGGAACATTTGGAGAGATATAGAACTTGGTGGGGGTTGTGGTGTTAGTGATAGGCATAAAAAGCCAACAAATCCTAACGATCACCGTGGTGTACTCACAACACTTTCAGTTTCATCTCCTAGATCTTGGAGTCGTAATTTTGGTGCATTGTGGAGATCTACTTGGTATTGGCTTCGATCATCTGAAAACAATGCTCAAATATATCCTCATAGTGATTCTAAAACTTCATTGAATTTTTTCGCAGATTCTTCAGTCACTATATCTGAAAAAAAGCTGGAACAAAGTCGTGTGAAATTCGCTCGCCTTACTTATACTCCAATTTGTACAGGATGTTCGAAATGTTGGGAGAAGAAGTTAATGGTAAGTACCTTATCATATTTAGACGCCTACTTACTAATACTGATAGATTGTAGTGGTTACATAAGAGGAACTGGAATTTAGTCAGAACCAAGGACTAGACAAGCACAAGATTAATTACTACTTAATGATGAACTGATGTGTATATCCTAGTTTTATCTGAAGTCAGTCGCCGTATAAACGGCTCATCACTATATCTTAAACTGTGACCTAGTAACTTGTGTTCAGATCGTGTGCGGAGTACCGTTTCCCTCAAGATTGAAATTGGCACGAAATCTAGGTCCAGGGTTTCCTGTCGTCTACCTACAACAAACTAACATGGCATAGTTGGCTTATCGATGACAAAATATAATAGTCCAGTTTTTCCCCTCACTTTTTTTTGTCATCAGTCTTTAGTATTTCATATTATTAAACTAGTGACAATTAACTTCCTCTTTTGTTTTTATAAATTAGTTTGACTATGATAATCATTAGTAATACGTATGTTGTCACCTCATTTTAGTGTATACATTTCTATTAACATTGGCATCAGTTCTTGAAGTCACTAACCTCTAGTCTGAGCCATGTTGGTAGATGCAGACTACTTGGTTGGGGTGCGCGTGACTATCGTAACCAATGGTTGGAGACTCTTGATGACATGGCTCAGAATCGGTCACAATGGCGTCGGTGTATACACTCTCTGTCTTCCCTTAAACTAAGAGATTAAAATCGCTTCATATCTTTCTTTCTACAAACTAATTCTTACTTCCTGTATTATGTCTTTATATGCAATCTTTCTTTTATATATTACCACCATTGAATTAACCACGTCTATGAATCCGGTGTTGATCTTGCTGTGCTAATGCGGTCTGGCAACGTGGACCGATGCATATATGTGCCTGGTCCTACGTTGTAGCTTACTGACTGACTGACTTCTATTAAAATATTGACTGGTGATACATGAAAATGTTTTATCAAATAAAAGCCCAGAAATCAATTGTTTTTATTAATTTAACGATTATTGCGACAAAACATTCTCTAAATACTAGAAAATAAGTCAGTTAAGTGAGTTTCAATGATAATGCTTCGTGTTCTTGTACTCAGGAACTCAGTGATAAATAATATAATTCGTACTATAGTTAGATTTTAATTTCTTTCTATTAGTTCTAATTTCACTCAATCCAGTCTAATTTTAAATTGCTTCCTAATGTTTGTTAAAATGGTTATTATTCAACAAATTTCTTTGAAATAACCATCTTTATTTTTGATGGACAGAGTTATAAAGAATCTGGTCTCGAAGTAAATACAAAGAAATCATCATCTCTATTAGGAAGAATATTTGGATTCTCACTAAGCAGTAATAATAACAAGTCAAATATTGATGACGTGAAAAGTGTAGAGATTCAACAACAAATCAAAGCTAAGAGTTCCATAGACAATCCTGCATGTGGAGAACTAAAGGAATTAATCGTTGAAAAGGCTTCTGGATTCACAATCACTCCGGAAGGAGTAAGTCTGTGTATGGCAGTAAATTTATGAGTTTTATTGTTATAAAAACAGATTTGTATCAGTTTCATTATTATTCAGTGACTTGAATAGCTGTAAATGATAATTTTTCTTTATTGATTTTTTTCCCATCCTATTTGTAAAATGGATATCAAATCAATCTGTATCTGTGTCGAAACACTAGTCATTGGTTAATGAGGTAGTGTATCTTCACCGATTGAGGTGATTGCAACATGTATGCCCAACGACTGTCTGTCTCGACAGGCAATGTTGTCTGGTGTAGTAGGCTGAAAGAAAGCTAGGGGAGACCAAACCAGAACGTGTTATCAGTCCATAAAGTCATTAACCCGTTGCATTGAGCCGTGTAGGTAGGTGCATATTATCTGGTTGAAGTCGGGGTGAGTGTCGAAACCAATGATTACAGATTGTGAGTGATATGGCTCCGACTCGTGCTCAGTGGCACAGGTTTCTACACTTTATTTTCTCTAAATCCTATACCTTTTTGTTTCTTTTCTACACCTAATCTTTTTGGTTACTAATGATATTGTTAATACTTCTACAATACTGATATTTGTCTTAATAATTCTATCTCTGTGTGATTATGCTATATGGCAACCTGAACTGACACATATGTGTTGTGTTGTGAGCTACTTATATTGACGTAAGTAGTATATAATGTGAGTTCAAATTCACTGGGAATTTCTTACGGAGAAAGCAATAAAACAGAAGTCAGAATCTTGTTGTTACTTGTATTATCTATCGACTTCCATTTATTAGTCCGTATGCAATTATTTCTTATGTCCGAGAGTTAGATTATCTCATTTACTAGGCCCAGGTTAGTGTAGTTACCTTCAAGCCACGTGCTGAATGTGAAAGCTAACTATACTAACCAGTTGCCTAAATTGATGCAGTGGGACCAGGGTTATAAATCATTCTCATAGTCTAATATTAAATATAACTGATCATCCAAACCTCATTAGATGGAGCAGGGTTCGAAACCGTAGTTCACTGGTTGAAATTGTTTTGACCTGAATAAATAAATCACATCCTTACGAACGCCTGTATTTATTGTTTTAATGAATACTACACCATAACCAATCCTTATCTCGATTATCCTGTTTACTAACTAATACTAGGAGTGGTGATGAAATATAATAAGTGGACGTTTTTTAATGAATTATTGTATGGATAATCGTAAATCAAAATCTGTATTCAGTCACTCAGTAACAACGTGGAACTTCGTGCGTACGTACATCAGTTCGAGTTGCCATACCACATTAGCACACAGTTACAATTGTCGATTCAAATCCCATAGTGGTAGAGGCAGTAAAAGTGTAAGCAGTAATCAAAAACACTAGGGTTTGAAGATGTTATTCAAGGAGTATAATTCAGTGAAATAAATTTGAAGAGAGAAAAAAAGAGACGTGAAGAATTCAGAAGATTAGAATTTGGGAGAACACAAAGAGTGGATGCACCTGCGCCACTGCAAACGATTTTGAGCCATGTCATTCAGAGTCTCGAACCATCGGTTGTTATCATCTCGCGGTCCCCAACCAGTTAGTCTACACCTGCCAACACAACCCAGTCCACTTGTCAGTGACTTCATGGATTTGTGCCATGTGTTGGCCTGACCGCCTCTAGCTTTTTTCCAACCTACTCTTACACCATAAAACATCGCACGTCGAGTCAGTTGGTGGTTGGGCATACGTAACACATGTTCCAGCCATCTCAACTGATCAAGTTCCACTACGTCATCAATCGATTTGTCATCTTACCTGGTACTCATTTCCTACCAACTGCGTTACTTACTCGGTGGTCCCAGGATATACGAGCAATGCTTAGAAGACACCTATGATCGAATACTAGTAACCTACGGATATCCTCTACTCTTACTAGCCGTGTTTCACTGCTATAAAGTAGGACAGAACTAACTGCTGCTCAGTAAACACGTCCTTTGATTGGTAGACGGATATCTCGTCTACTCTATAAATGACGCAAGTTGTCAAAAGCTATTCGAGCCTTCTGTATGCGTGCTGAGATTTCGTCACACACCAGACCACAAAGGCTGATGAGACTCCCAAGATAAGTGAAGCGGTTGACGCGCTCAACTACTTCATTCCCTATCATTAGTTCAGGTGCCTATGCTACCCAATCCTGAAGCAACATTTTGCATTTCGAAGGCGAGAATCGCGTCTCGAACATGCTTGCATTGTTTTGTATAGTGATCAGAAGACTGGATTTTGTCAACGTCTTCACCAAATAGAACTATGTCATCGGCATATTCTAGGTCAAAAAGTGAGTCTTGCGGTAGAAGTGCAACTCCTGGAAATTTAGTTGAGTAAAGTGTTATCTCTAAAAGCACGTCAATGTCAAGGTTAAACAAGAATGGAGGCAGTGGACAGCCCTGACGAACATCACTTGAGGTAATCAATTCTGATGACAGTTCGCCATGAGCTCTCACTCGACCAGTTGTGTTTGAGTAGCGAGCCTTTACAGGGTTAATGTGCTTCTTCGTACTCCTTTCAATGACAAACACTGCCATAGAACCTCACGATCAACAGAGTCGAATGCTGCTTTAAGGTCGAGAAGTACTCCTATGGTGGGGCGTCTGAATGTGTTTCTATGTTCTAGAACTTGAGGTTGTGTGAATATCTGATCTATACAGCCACGTCCATGACGGAAACTAGCCTGGTTTTCTCTAGTCTGCTCTTCACGAGCTTTAGTTAGGCGTCGAAGTATTATTGAAGCTAATGTTTTTCAACATTATATTAGTCAAACTGATTCCTCTGTGATTGTCACAAGAGGACTTTTGTCCTTTCTTATAGACTGGTACATTCCGTGATTGAGACCAGTCAGATGAGGCTACTTCTAGATCCCAGATTCTACCTAAGACCTCGGTCAATGTCACTGCTAATACTGAACCACCATCCTTGAAAATCTCAGGAGTAAACCTGTCAAGGCCTGCTGCTCTTCCTCGCTTCAGATTTCCTATAGCTTTTTCAACTTCGTAAAGAGTTAGGAAACTTACATCAACTTGCCTTTACTAGCAGATATCACTGCTGTTTTCACAGCTTCTCAAATATCATTCCAAGCAGCCTCAGTGTGGGTATCACTTACATGACTGCCTAATTGTGTTTCTAGTTGTTCCTGAAATATAAACTTAGCTTGGTTATCATTAAGTAGAATCCTGAGAGGTACTGATTCTAAGCATGTGTTGCAGAACGAGTGGCAGTCTTCTATCGAGCTCCTCCATCGGTGGTTGATAGCTATGTGATCTAGTGCAGTCCAACGTTGGTACGAATTCGGAGGTCGTCATGTTAAAAGATATTTTTACTTATGCTTAAAGTTAGTATCTGCCAGAAACAGGCGGTTATCTGAGTATAGCTGTAATAGACGGTCACCATTATCTGTTCTTCGAGCCATGACGCCATAAGATCCACTCATGTGTCTTTCCTTTTCGCTTAGTTTACCTACTTGAGCATTAAAGTCGCCAGCCACTATTACTACATCAGAACGCCTAACACTTTGGAGGAGGTCAGAAAGCTTTCTGTAAAACTAGTCTTTTACCTCATCTGAGCTGCAGTTAGTAGGAGAGTAAGCGGGGACGACGAACAGTCAACGATGATTGTTTCTATCTTTCCAGGTTTAGTAGAACGTGGTTTCAGGAGACCGATAATAACATTCCACGCACTCAAATCGTTTGCATTAGCGGCGCGAGGTGATAAAGGGACGTGGGAAGGGTCAGTCGTAGAGATAAAAAGTTATTAGGAGGTGAAAAGCTGTGTTACTATGTGTGTTACAAGTGAAAAAGTGATTTAATTAATTAAATTTGATAATCAATGGTCCGTTTCACGTTTAAATACACACTTGATAGTTTTGTGTAATCCATTTAAATATGTACCGATAAAAATGTATATGTCTTTAGGATCACATTCGTTTGGATATTTTGCGTCGTTCCACCAGCTATTGGGATCATATACAACAGTTTCGTTCATGGCTCCTTTCTCAACCGTATTCATTTAAATCTGGTAGTCAGGTAATATTGTGTGATAAATTGCGTTTGTTTCCTGGTCAAACTGAGGTGAGCTTTTTTCGTTTCTCTATTATCAAACTGTTATCAAGTTAAACCATATCTTTATATTGTTTCATGAGTGTTTGTTTACAATATTTGCTTGTTCATTTGTCTTAACAGTAGGAGCCTTGTGCTAAACTCTCAGCGTTTTTGTTGATTAAGAGACAAGCGGAGATTATATACTGGTGAATAATATCTTAGTGATTTAATTCTAGTAATAGAGTTGGGAAAATTATGAAAAATCAAGGCGTCAAATTAGTCCGAGTTGTTGGTTATCTAAATTTCCAAACTGACAAGCGAATTAATTTAGCTTCTGAAATTTTGAAAACGAGGTTTTTTAATTGTTCGACTCAAATTAAACACAATCGAATGATAATTCGGTAATTTAAATAGAACAAGAACAAACATTGATGCAGAATAGTATGAATTCATATTATTTCGAGGTTTCTCGTCAGCTGCTTACAAACCAAAATTGTGATAGAATTTTTACATGGAGATAGTGTGAAACAATTGACATAAATGAGTGTAAATAACGTGATTACAATAATAACTATATATATATGCTAGAAACAGGTCAGGGGTCAAAAGAGGGGGGTTAATCCAGGGTGGGTGGTTTAATAATTTAGTGAAGTTCATAAGTTGTGTGATAATTGTAGAGATTAATGGAATTAAATAATGATAAGGTAGATTACGTAATAATAATTAAATAGGGTTTGGAAAGTTAAGATTATTTAAGAGGATCAGGTGACGGAAATGTGTGAATAAAATTTATTTTATTTTAAGAATTCGGTAATAGGGGGGGGGAGATATAAATTATCTTAGAATAAGTAAATGAATAAAATAACCAAAACACAAAACAAACAGAAACAAAAGGATTACCAGGGTAGTGATAAGTTTATTAAAGTCTCTTTTTGGACGCATAAGTCCTGTTTCAGTTTCTTAATTGCAATGGCTTCAGCAAAGCGGAGAGTGGTAGTAGTTCTTTGTCTATTGATAATTTTAAACGCGCGCATAATATCGACGGTATGCCCGGTGTCAAGTAGATGCCGAGCTATTGCACTGTTAAAAGCTTTAGTCCCTCGCAGCGTAATTGTTAAAAACTTGTATCTCATTGTTCCGTTTGTTTAAATATCTAAATTTTTCAAACTCAACTGTTGGCAGCTAACATGTAATTTGATGAAGGTCCGCCATTTACATGTTTTGCGTTATCACCTCTTATAACTAACGTGGTCTCCGATACTGTGACTTGTTCTATGTATCGATTTGTGTAATCATTATCAGTGGTTTTTTGTACTTAATTCTATCTTTACTTATATAGTATATTGGTTTTTTTCTGTTTAATTCGTTTGTTCACATTAAATTCTTTCTCTGCTACTCAAACTTTATATATGTTCATTGTTATAGAACGAGTTCTATTGGATTGACAACGACTACTTTGAGGCCCACCCGATTGAAGTGAATTTGCGCCACAACGCTATCAATCTTTTCATGTAATTTAATACTTTCACTTAAATAAACTAGATCGGTTTTCCTATTTTAATGTATAATTGAAGGTTTTGTTTTCTCTCTGGTTGGGAACTCAATTTTTACGTTGAGAGCAGTCCCATTATGTAGACATAATTGAGCAAGTGGCGAGTTGTGTTGTACTTTGAAAGCTTACCACACTAATTCATTATATATCTCATAAGGATACCTGGCTTCATGGTTGAAATATGTCAGGAGTCCATGGTACAATGCCAATTCATCCATTTTGGTTGGTTACGTTGAAGTCGAGCTCTGTTCCTTTTTGTCTGTCTCATAGTTGGTTTTATACTACAAGAATATTGCTTGACAGGCTTGTCGTGTTTTGGTTATGGAAGGTTTCTAGTGCGTTAGCACCATTGTAATTATTTTTATACAGGCATTGTGAACTACGGTTTTTGTGACAAATAACTTGTCGTGTAGTTCTTCTGCGTTACTATCAGTAAGTGTCATAGGAGTCAGAGTACTTGCTGTTTAAATTTTACTCATTACTGCCGGTGTGTAATTACCAATCTTGGTACTGATCATTTTCGACTTTGAATATTCCATATAATCTTTATTGGATCAACTGATAGTGCTACAAACAGGTCAGTGGTTTGTTCGGATAAAGCTAATGAAGGGCTTGTCTGTAGTATCATTAAGCGAAGACTAAGAAGCCAGTTGTGGTACATAGATCCCGAGAATAAGTAACTTTATGGGTCTATAGTGGTGACGTCTGACACACTTAACAAAATAATCGTGAGCACAAATACAAGAACCAGTGCTTTCATATGTGATAACACATCGGCCTATAATCATGATAAACTTTCGTGTCATGTCACTCTGTTTGCCGCTTCACTGGATTTTAGGTCGTAACATAGGAAGGAATTCGGAGAGTAGCAGTGACGGATATTTCGTATTCGTTATCCTCTTTAAACCCAGACAATCAGCTTTCTCCTAAGCACAATCGAAAAACGAATGAATCGGTTAGGGGAATCGACTCGACGTTTGACTATTACCCATCAGTTGTATGAAGACCGTTTCCATCACAGTATATTGTCTACCATCTTGAGTAAAGAATTGTGGTCAGACAGCAAAATAGCTGTCTATCATGAATAAAGTTTTCTTGTATTTCCAAAAACACCTATTCAATGTGTTTTGATTTCCAATGAATTCAGGTTTTGGACGCCAATATAATTGTTGTCGCAGGAACTTGGCTCGCCGTATATGTAGACTGTTCTGCCATCATTGAAGGTTACATCCATATTGGAAGTGATAGAGTTTTAAGTCGCAAGGGAGGAGGCATAGTGTTGTGTGTTAGGGATCACTTTCGTATACAATCAATTGTATCGGTGGCAAATGTGAGATAGTATATTGCACAATTACGCCTAGAAACGGGTTAGTGGCTATAGGAGGAATGTACCGTAGTCCGTGTTTTCTCGTTGACGACTTTACCTTAAGACACAACTGTTGTTGGAGTAAAGCAGAATGTTGTCTCATCATTGGAGATCTCAACACACTGCATATTGACCGGACAGGGCCTACATAACCGGATGGGTGTTCCGATTGCGACCTTCGATCAATCATTGTTCAGTGTTCTCGTGTATCTGCTTCACTCCGACACTATATCTGGCGAGCTAATATTCCGGCAATCTACCGACTAGTCGGTCGATACAGATGGATCGATCGAAGACGAATGGAATAACTTTGAGGCTACATTCGAGCCCGTAACATCACCGTTTATCACATGGTCAACACGTAAGCTATTACATTGCCCTCCATGGATTACTAAGGAAACTCAGAAGCTATTGAAGCGTATGAAACACTTCTGGGACTCATTCTTTTCGACAGGACATGCATCATTTATATGTGAATATAAAACAATCCGGAATACATGTAAATTCCGTACTACTTACGAACGACAATTGGCATATTGCCGTACTTGTTCGAAACGATTGTTTTCGTGTGTTAAACGGCGGGTGAAACGTAGTGATGGTATTCTCCCGTCACCTTTACACGGAAATTCAGATTTACTAGCTGAAGCAGATAGGGAAAAGTCTAAGAATTTTAAAATATTTATCGGAGTCAACTCTGTGTGTTTTGTTACAAATACTTGTTCTTATAACACCGCTCAGATATCAGCTATAAGATCTTCACATGTGACTGAGGAGACTGTTCTCTCATTGGTAACTAATCTCGAACCTTGTAAGATACCGCGCTGTGATGCGTTACATCCACGACTGCTGTAGTCTCTCGCGGAAATCATTTCAAGAGCGCCATTGACGCTCTCCAACATGCAACTTTCACTCGCTCAACTCCCTAGAGACTTGAAAGACGCTTTGATCAGTCCTATATTTAAAAATGATCGGTGACAAATCGTATCTAACTACCAACATAGTCAATAAGTTACTTGAAAAGATATTTCGGTTCAAGGAACTAAGTCACATAGATTCACACAATCTGTTAACTCCCGACCAACATGGGTTTCGCAACGAGCGTTCATACTTGAATAACTGACTTATTGCGAAAGAGGATTAAACAACGACCCTAGACAACGGTCTGTTTGTCTATGTGATATCCATAGATCTTAGCAAAGCGTTTGGAAAGGTTTCACACTTAGATCTTATGCAGAAGCTCTCGAGCTTCGGAATGATAAATGCTGTACAATAATGGATAAGTAACTTCTTATGTGACCATAGAAGGAGAGTGTCAATGGAATGCTATCCGGATGAAAGTTGGTCAAAGGTGGTGTACCTCAAGGCACCATCATAGGCCCTCTACTTTCCCTTCTATACGTTAATGAATTACCGTTTTTGCTTAATTTGTCCACATTATTGTTTGTGGATGATGTAAATATCTGGTGAACAATAAGAAGTGAGGCTATTCATTTTAATCTCCAAGCTGACTTAAACGAATTGGTTAGATGGGCTCGAGGTTGGGACTTAGAAGTTAATTCTCGGAAGAGTATGCTCATGCACATCGGACACGGTAGTAGTTTTAATTATACTATTGATGGTCTATCGGAGTCACCAGTTTCGTGCCTTTATTTAACCCTCGTGCTATTGACAGGAGAAAACAGACTAGTAGTGATAGGTCTTTATTTAGATCTTCGCGCAGTCACAGAGGAGCGTGGGATTACGTGTTCGGACAAACAAAGTCTCTCAACATTCAATATAAAATAATAGGAGTTATAACATTTTTTTATTTGAATAGTTGAGATCATGAGTGGATTGAAGTAAAGTACCATGATTCAATATAGTGAAATGGATCATTTTGACGTTTGGTAAATAAATGGTAGGCTTTTATTTATTACATTGAAATTAAACGTACGTACACCAAAATGTCATGTGATACAATTAACTATGTTTGTATTAAGCTGTGTAATTCAGAGAGACACTTATTTCCTCAGACGTAGGCTTGTACTTTTACACTTTATGTAACCAACATCTCAAATCCTTGTCAAAACTTGTTATTCAACAATATAGAATATTCTATGGGAATTTTTAAACTGCAAATATGCTGTTGACATTACGTGCAAAACTTGTTAAGCCCAATTGACGAGCACAATAATCGATTCACATGACTACTTACATAGACAAGTACTTTTTGTCATAATTTTAAACAGCTCAACAACAAAGAATATACAGTTAAAAACAATTAACGCTTTTAATGGATTAGCAAAATAAGTCAATTTACACTCCTGCATTTATTTATGACACCATTTTTCTGGCGAAACTAAACAACTATTTTGTACTAAGAATTACTGTTTGGAAAAGAACCCAATCACATAAATATTATTTGCTACTCTCTGAGTACAATGAAGTTGGTTTACATTTCGATTAAAACTCGGATGGAACAGTCAGACAGAATTGTTTGTTTTTTTATTGGGATAGTTGAGATCATGAGTGAACTGAAGCTAGAGGAGCACCATGAAAAACATGTTAGTGTCTAACTTCAAGTAATCCACGAAATTTTTATAAATCTCAATTGATTATATTGCTTAATCACTAAGGCTTAATTAGAATTCATCAATGTTGGTTCAGTTAACCTTTCCTATAGAAATGATGTCGTTGTACTAGTGAACTGGTAGTACTACATTCGCCTATCGTAACTATATGACAAAACACTGAAACATTCTGAATAAGTTTCGCATGTACTATTGTTAGACAGATAAGTGTTCATTAGATGACATTTCCTATACGAAATCGTTTACTTAAACCGTATATTTGATAAAGCTTAGAAAGCGTTTACGAATACGTGGACGATAATCACATAATGATTATTAATCTTAAATGAATTTTGATGGTTTCATCACTTGACCTTTGCCATGGAAATAAGGAATTGAAACAAAAGAATTTAAATCAAATTGTGGTTGGCCCTGAAAAGGGCCTTTACTCGTTCTCTTAACAGTTCGGAATTTCATGAACAAAGGAGTTGTTATGATTCCGTTATAGCGTCGCACATGGGACAGTGGATTCCATGGACATGTGGTGATGGGTCGTAGGCACAAAATAAATGAAGCATTGCTTCGCATCGACAAAAAACCTAGGTACTTCCATCAGCAGTTTCATGTGGCGGTTGCGCAAGATTGCAAATATCATAAAGTCTGTTGTCATACGCATCTTCGTCAATGTCGTCGTCTCGTTCAGTGTTCTACTGTAGCGAACAAGAACACGGGTGGGGACAATCAATCGTGTTTAGCACAAACATTACAGACTATCTCAATAAAATGTGAATACCATAAAGTCAATCGTCAATTTGCAAAATATCATTCCATCATATCAAACTGTACTGTTCCCGTTGCAAACACTAATCCATTGTCTCCCATTCCATTGTACATGCGTTTTCTTACAATTCCATTGTGCTCTTGCTCTTCCTTTCTTGATCTTCGCCATCTTCTGCTGCCGGACATTACGTTCTTTTAACGCACGTTATATACTACTTATATGAATATAAGTAGCTCACACCACACTACCACCATTTCTCCAACATACGTATTTAATATACGGCTTCCGATTTCTATGTAAATGAGAATCCCTTACCACAT